GACTGGCATTTATAGACAAATTGACAGGCTTGATAATCAGAAACAAAAAAAAAAAAACGACTTGACTTTTACAGGTGTTTCAAGAGATGATCCAACAGGTATGGGTGGCTGAGCTAAGGAAAGACATCACATCGGCCACCTGTCTGCAGAAAGCACCCCACTGCCAGCCCTAAAACATTTTAATCATTTGACGGCCAATTACTCTGGAGCCGGAACAGAGCGGAACAGAAACTCACACTTCACTTCCCCGGCACTCACAGATGGCCCTGCAGGCTGGAACTCCACTGCTTGTCTTCGCTCTACCTGTCCACTCAACTAGCACAGCTCCCTTCTGACACAGGCGAACAAGTGGTGAAATAAGGTGTTTGGGAAAACTAACAAAGGGAGAGAGGCCATGTTGACGGCTGTCATTAATCAGAAATCATGTTAGTAATATTCCATTTATTTCCACGCAGTCTATTACAACATGAGAAACTAAACTAATTTGAAATATACCAGTGTGTAACCTCACACTGTTGCATGTCTGTTTTTTTGAAGGCTGTACAATAACATTACTTTTTAGATTTACAATATAAACTGCATGTATTTTTGTACATACAATCACATTAATCTAACCCTGATTTCTATATGTTTTGGATTGTGATAGGAAGTCTGTGTACACATAGTCTGTATACACATAAAAATCCCACACATACACGGGGAGAACATGCAAACTCTGTGAGGCAGGGGTACTAACCCCAACACCCCTGTGCATCCACTGTATAAACCTAACTTTTTAAAAATATCTATTTTCATTTTTTTAAACGTTTCATGTGAGCTGTATCTAGGATGACATGGTCTGATTTGAACAGCTGACATCCTGCAGCTTTATCGCAACATGAAAAAAAATCAAAGCGCTTCAGAAGAAATGATGGCTTGACATACCATCAAATGCTGTCACTCTGTGACAACGGGAAACAATGGATGACTTTTGAAATTAAGAAATGTCTTATTCACGTCACTCAACACGATTGAAATATTATTGCTTACGATGATTATTTGCCTATTTGCCTGACACTTGACATGTTCAAACAGGCAGAAATAAACAACTAAAGAAGGGGAATGTCACAACACAAGATGTGATTTTGACAAAAGAAAGGCAACTTTCTGTCAATTTTCAGCGTATCAGCGTGGTTTGCAGGACTCAGTTCAGATCCAGAAATCCCAGGGAAATAACATCTGAGAGGTGTGGCCAGGGACGAGAAAGATCACTGAGCTTTAAGGTAAAAGCCCATGATCTGACATGTATTTTAGTAGGTTAAGCTAATCATCATCACTTAGCGTGCTCAGATAGACCGCACACCCTATTTGTATCTATTCTATTCCAATTCTTCATATGGCCTTAGACGATCAATATGTAGAATGAACTGAAAATGTTTCATTCCTAGAACTCAAGTACTAACTCTACTGTTATGTGTGCTAAAAAAGCAACAACAACTCCATATCAGGTTTTGACTCATGGAAACTGATCAGTGCAATTGTACCAAGAGCACATTCCTTGTTTTTACATGATCAGACTCATTTTCAAACTAATTAAACATCATAAATGTCGAGCTGCATCACTGCAATGCGTGAAGAGGATGGCTGAGCAGCTGGAACAAATGACTATGACTGAGAGTAGTTTTCCTCAATTACACTTCAGGAGACATTTTTGAGTTTCATAAATGAAACTGTGTCTTTTATATGCAAAGCGGCAATTTGTACAGCTTTCGTTGATCGGAGGGTCTCACTGTTTCAATATGCAAAAAAGATTGATATTTTTTCTTGCTTTTACTGAGTACTTGTCTTAACCGAAGATGGATTTTATTTAACTTGACACATATGTTCGCTGCTAACTGTGTCTTTATTTCTTTGCCAGAACCACAATGGTGATTATGTAAATACACTAACTAGCAGCAGCTGCTGTGCCTGTTTTTTTTTAGGGATAATTTCTTTTTAAAAAGTACCTCTGAACTCATCTAAGTTGCCATCAATTAGTCTGTCAAGTGATTTAGGAGAACACGAGATGAAAATCATGAATTTTGTGTTGGAACACTAACTGTTCATGTTACGTGTCTTCACATGCCCGCTTATGAGTCACAAGGGATTCATGGTGCCTCACAGTTTTTTCTGACAAAAGAAACAAAGAAAACTGAGGAACAACAACAAAAGAGGTCGGAATATGATTTTTATTTATCTTTTAAGATGGATATTAGACAGATCTGTTGATTTTTAAATGCGTTTAAATCCTTTTTTTCTCTTTTTTCTAGTTTTTCTTTTCTTACTTTGTTTTTCAATGTTTGGCATATTCATCTTATCTCTGCTTTTTGTCTCTGATGTGGGTAGATCAATCCCCTGCCACAGGACAACCCAGGGACATGCCCCGTCAACAAGAACTAACTGGGATAACAAGTTTGAAGCAGACATTGCTTCAAACATGGACCCTGAGCAACTTGTGCCCACTCATTTGGAGCTGGGTGGCATTGCAGATTCACTTCTGAAAAAGGATGATAAGCCCTTTGTCCTTCCACCAGCTGTAAAGCCAGTGGCTACAGGTGGCACGTGGACTTGTAGGCTGCATCTACAGCTGTAGAAGGGCAGAACCAATGCTGAGAATACTGTCATTAAGCTGCCATTGATGCCACCATGAATGCCGGACAGTAAATATCTAATGGTGTAAATGCAAATTTAAAGTTCAAACTGTCTGGAGCTTTGGCTTGTTTTGTTGGCACTGGACCATTTTATACCCTTTCTGAGACGGCACCATGTTGTGGTCAGAACCCACAGCACCATGGTCTTGGCATATATATCATCAGACCAAAGCTGATGGACACTTATCATTTGCAGATGTTGGCAAAGAGACTGATTATGGACCAGATCTTGCCTATAATTACTGAAAGCCAGTCGCGTGTCTGCTGACTTGCTGTTCAGAGGCAGCTCCCACTATGAGGATTTAAAAATTGAAAGCAATGTGGTAGTAAAAACATAGGGCAAATACGGCCAATTTCTGTGAATAAGTGGAGAATGCTCAGTATCCATCGTATGACACCCTAACTGGTCAAATGGCATGGGAGATGTAGCACAGTGGTCCCCAGCTGATCAAGTCCACTCGAGTCCTACAGGCCAAGGAAACATTGTTTGGCAGATATCTTCTAGCTACTTTAAAGCTGGCCAAGGCTGCTGCCTATTTATAAGGATCTCATGTTAAAAACATTCACAGGGATTTTCTGATAAAAAAGATTCTCCAATGCCATGCAGAGAGCATGGCTCTTTGGGCCTTTGCTTCCAGTGGTTATATCTGACTGGCATGGGGTTCCATAGAATGACATTGGCACCATCCAAAGTGCCAGAGCTCTCTGTTTATGTTGTGAATATGCATGTGTCATGAAATTATACGCACTTAAGATATCCATGAATTATCAGCTAATCTGTAATGTATGCAGCTCTTCAAGGGAGGATTCAGGTTTTTTATTCAAATCCCTAGTCAATGAATGCATTCATGCAGTTGCAGCTCTCAAAGCAGTTGTGTTTGCATGACATAGCAAGCAGTGGAGACAGTAATAAATGTAGGTCCCATTTCTGTTTTGTTTTTTTAAAAACCTTATGTAATGATCAGCTTTTCAGGCAGTATGGTAGTCTCTAAATCATATATTAAATCCTACAGTATATAGACACAGAAAGAAATGTTGAAAAGCATAAAGACAGTCTGATAAGCTGTTGATCCTCTGTGTATGTTTCTCTTTGTATTGTGATTTTTGAGCATGAGGCTCTCTTTGACAGGGAACATCTATCATAAATTCTCACCTCTCATGCTGAAAGCTGAAATGGTCCATGTGATGCAGTTATGAGTTGCTGTGCAATCGGAGACACAAAAATACATTGCAGCCTGGTCCCTGTCACTGTAATCCTGTCCCCAAATGTCTGCTTCCTTAAAGCTTACAGATGTTTTAGAGACAGCTTTGCCAATATGGGTTTGTGAAAATACATGTACTGGGTACAAAAAAGATCATATATTTAGTAAATAATTAAACAACCATTGTCAAATTGTTATCATGTTGCCCTATTGTTTCACTGCATATTATTATGTCAATCTTCCCATTCCGAATGCTCAAAAGCCAGCAGGAAATGAGAGCTTTGCTTTTTGAACAACAGCCGCTGATGGTCTGAACATGACCTAATGATCCTCTCCGTCATTCCATTATCCAGTCTGCTGGCAGAAATTATCTTCATGTTTGCACACAATGACAACAATAGCTATCTGATATCAGTGAAGGAGCCAAATGAAGAAGTCTGATTGTTCCATGTAATGCAGCACAAGGCTCAGAGGAATGGGAGCAATGTTTATCCCTCTGGTTATCCCTCCATCTAAATTCCTCCTCTAACTGAAAACGAGGCTCTGGGGGAAACACTGCTTTAATGAGAATGTTGCCTTTTTTCTTCCATTTTTGGCTTTCCACCCTAATTTTCTTCAGTTCTTGTCTATCCAATTTCTCTGTGTTTATTTACGCCATTTCTGTGTTCTTGCGTGAGTGTGTTACTCCTAGAGCATTATCGACACTGTGAGGGTGTGTTGACAGCTGTCCTCCCTCTTGTAGCCCTAAATTCTATTGGCAGTCTCTCACAGTGAGGGCCCTGCCTTTTACGCCACACCACACCACTATCAACAGTGGGCCGGCCGTAAAAAACACCTGCTGCTTTCAGTTTATCTTTAAAGCCCTTCCATTTGGATCACGCAACAGTAGCGTCTGTCATGTTGAAGTCAGTAATTCCTCTCAGTACATCAACATCCCCTCAGTTCAAATTCTATCACCTAGTTATTCAACATAATTACCGAAGGAAGAGACAATTTGAAAACACAGTGTTGCGGTATGTGATTGTGCTAAATGATTAAGGCTTACTCAATGCACACAAGTAAGATGACGTATTTGCCTATGAGACGACACACCATACTGGCCCAGTACTCATTGTGGTGGTGTTTTTACCTGAAGGCATGCAGGCGCTCGACCATGTGGTTTATTGACGTCCACAGCTACAAGCTGCCATCCCCCAGCGGCGTCTTCGTGGAACATCTGTGGCACAGGGGCAGCACATAAGTGCCAATACACGCAAGAAACCAACACTACACACAATCCAAAGCACTGGACAATACACACAACGCACATATCAGCCCCTCAGCTACATCGTCAATAAACATCTGTGACCACAAAAAGGCTTAGAGCATTATAGACACATATTCATACCCAGACAAACATTATAGGTACTAAATACAGTATGCAAATGTAAAGACCTAATCCAAGAAATAAAAGAATTACCCTTTTAAATACAGCTGGGTCAAACATGAACATAAATCATAAATACAAAATGCATGTTAAAACAAAATGTATATCAAAACAAGTGAGATTTAACCTGACAGAGTAGTTAACCTAAATTATTAATTTTTTACTGTTACCTTCCTGTCACCCATATAAAGAATATAGGCTTCAAGGAATTTTGTAGTCATAACAGCTCACATTTACATGTTTAGAGTATTAATTTCGGCTTAGGAAGCAAAGAGTAGCTGAACAATTTAGAAGCCCTTTACAATCTTCTGCATACATGCATCATTTTGGAAAGAAAATTGAATCCAATTGCCTCTGAAAGTACAAAGAGCAAACCCGACACTTGAACTTAAAGGCCTCTCAAACATTTTTTCATGTTTGAGTCCTTCCAAGAGCACTGCCATGCACTTGTTGCTGTAACAAGCCCCTGTTATTCTAAAAGAACCCTGCCGGCTACAACTTCCTACAACTGTGATCACAGCTGTTTGGAAAAAGCATTTCTTAGCTGATAAAACTAGCATGCGACTTGTGGTTTTAAATGTAAAACATTATGTTTAGAGATAGGAAAACAATTTAGGGCAAATATGATGTTGTGCATTAGTGCCAGGACATCTAGCAATCACTGATTACAGAAAATGTCAGAACATTTGTCCCTGAACCAAATCAGATGTTTTAGGAGCCACTAAAATCTGTGTCCTTCAACAACAAAAAGTCACAGAGGCAAGCGAATTGATCCATACACCCAAAGCCATAGGAAAGGTTTTAGTAGGAGCCTGAGGAGAAATTTGTTTAGGAAATCTACAATAGATAAGAGTGCAGATTAGATTAAGTAAAGATTAGATTAGATTCCACAATCAAAGGTGGTCTGTATCGCCAAAAGGAATGAGGAGCAGTTACAAGGAACTTAAAATAAAGGTAATGCCGCACAACAGGGCTGTAAGGAATCAAAACGAACTGACATTTAGTTCAAAATACTAAAAATAAGGGTGCACTTAATTACACCCCTTAGCTCACTTGTAATAATTGTAAAGAAATTAGCAAGTGAGCTATTATTGCCATGTTAGTTTAGGTTTCTTTGATGTACCTTTAAGTATTTAAAGAAATGAGCTTGGAAAACTGTAGAGGGTTCATATGAATTAGCTTCCACGGATACTAATATTTTTTCTCAGTTGTGTGTATCATCACAGCAATGGTCTTTCACACATATATGGCTGTGAGTTCTGATTTGTATTCACTCAAGACTCACAGAGGACATTTTAAGATCCTCGTGCTCTGACTAGGTGCCATGTGGCTCCATTTTTGTTGCCATGTCAATGCAAAGAAATTACGGGGCACAAAACAACATCCAAATTGAATGACATGCTCTGTATAATCTAAATGAGATTATGATAATGCATGTGGATGCCATAATATGAGCGAGCTGCTGGAGTGTAGGGACTTTCATTAGCAGAAATGCCAGATCGTTTTTGTTTTCTCTATTAAACACTCATATACACAAGCTCAATGTCAAATATACAGAGATTATGTTTAATTTACTGTAAATCAGGCCAAGGTAGAGTTCATTCTAATTTACTCAAATTCAGGTTGACGTTCATCTCTTAATTACAATAAATTAGAGTGAACAAAGAAAACCCTGATTGTGAAAAAACAAGGTTGATTTCTCCTCTTCATGTTATCAGCTTGGTTAGGTTTTACAGCCTCATCTCTATTAAAAAGCCTGGATAATCTGTAAAGAATACACCAAAGTCAAAGATTTGGATGTGTGGTGTGAGCTGTGTCTCCCAGGGCCATCCTTTACAACAGTCTTCCTCTCTGGGGAAGATGAAGAAAAGATTATATTGTTTCCGCCTCGCTGACTGACAGTTAAGTGTTACACCATACCTAATTACTTTTCCTCCCGTCTAAGATAAATACCAAGGCATGACGGTAGGATTACAGTTTACTTTGATGAAGAAAAAAAAGGCTCATTGTTTTCAAGGTCTTTTGGCAATATACCATTTGTAAAGGCCTGTTTTGCCAAGGCATCAGATGTCTTAGTTTCACAAATGTCCAAGCCAAAAAGGAATAACATTGAAAGCGTATTACCTTCTCAAACAAGAACTCTATTTTAAAAGATTACAAGAAAATTAAGATTCTTCACTGATCATATTTGAACAAAGTTACAAATAGCTTCTGACTTTTCATTTTTATTGAAGTAGTACTGAAAAGAGAGATATTAGATCCAATAAACATATTTATTTTCAAGGGTATTTCTGTTTTTTTTAATTGGGTGCTCGTATACAACACAATTTATATGGCATATAAAGTTTTAATTATTAGATTTATCCAACTTTTTGTGCCAATAAACTATCATCAGTAATTTTACCTAAGATAATTATATTGATAGTTTTATCTTACAAACGTATTCACGTAAAAATTCATTTGACATTTTTTTGTAAACAAAAATAAACGTTTGCTATCTTGATTAAATAATTGTAAGAAATCTTTCATTAATTAACCTTTTTCAAAATCATTCAAATGATTTTGAAAAAGGTCAAGATAATTTGTTTAACCCTATAATGCCATAAGCATCATATTTAATCAGCTATTGGTAAAAACTTTGCTCAAAACCCAAACTTTTTTCACGTCTTTCCAAAAAAAAAGTATAAAAAAGAGAAAAGAAAACAGATTAATTGCTGAAAATTGCTGGTCTGCATCTGCACAAGGTCAGCGTTAAACACAGAACATCCAACAAAACAAATTAATCTGTAAATTGGGGCGTATTTGTACTCACTGTGAGAAATAACTTCTATTTTTCTCAGCAACAGAAACAAAAATAAATATTTTTAAACACTCCGAGTCCAAAAGTTCACTTAAAAAGCTTGACCTAATAATCTTAATGAGTCTGTTTCAAGTGATGACGTCCACCTCCTCATGGTGGATCCCAAACTAATAACTCCTGTGTGTTATGGCATGCTGATGAAATGCCAAAATACACCTTTCTTCCACTGCCAAAATGAACTAATTTAATTTGCAGCTCCTTCATTAGGCAAAACCTCCTTATCCTTTCTCTGTTTCTGACTTCTGAACTGTTGAAACATCAAATAAGTTTAGAGAATTTTTTTGTTGAACCTCTGTTTTTGTTTTTTTGTTTTTTTCTAAATCAACATCAACCTTCAGACCAATACCATTTGTGCAATATAAATTTCATCTCATTAAACAGTCTCTGGCAAAGTATAGATTTTAGCTTCCAAAGAACACACACACTTGCCAACAAAGACATATTTATATACACATCGAGTCACTCAAACTAAAACATCACAAATAGCTTTCATGATTTAACACTGGCAGCTTTTATATTTTAAAACTGTGAATGCAGACAAACAATAACCAGCAAGGATTTTTAAATCCTCACTTTTTGCTCTGAGTGAACATTGCCTTTTTCCTACGCCTTTGGATTCTTTCTCTGATAGAACACAAGTCACACATTCTAATCAAACAAAATCCCAATACTGAACAGTAAACCTTGCCTAACTTACAGTAACGTACCAAAAAATCTTTTGAAGCAATGGACAGAGAAAATACTAGTCCTAAATCTATCTTGAATTTTGTTCTAGAATCAGTTAACCTCAAAAGTAATGCTCTCCCCGTTAAAGGCTCTTGTAATCACATTTATTTTGGTTATGTGATTAGATAGATCTTCACAAAAAGGGAAGGGACATTTCCAGACCTTTCAAATTCAGACATTTCAAGACAATCATCAACCATTTGCGATGAGCAAAACTGTGCCTGATGGTTTTAAGTAATTAGTATTTTTGAACAGCGCCTTGAATCTGTGTGAAGTTTTCATTCACAAACTGAAGTTAAGAAGTGGATATTAATCAGTTATGGCCCTTTTGGTGGTCAAATTTATATGGTAAAATCATGTCAGATTTAGGTGCCAAGATATCCAAGCTTTGTGATGGTGTTTCTGTGAGTGTGGCAGTTATACCTGTGTCGTAGCAGTAGAGGTGGTACTGCTCCTCGACCCCCACATCTGCTGGAATTGGACCCTTATCTCGGCAAATGTCTCAATAATGACAGCAATGAACACATTCTGTAGATGAAAATGAGATTGTTGTGACCATTTAAAAGTGAAGTCAAGGACACCCTGCAAGTCTACTGTTCACCATCTTTTCCCCTTATCAGTGAGATGACAGACTTTTACTCATTAACCAAAAAACATTCAAATAACAAGGTCAAATCACCATGCCTGCAGCTGAAACATCAGCTTTGTAAATTTTCAAATCTTCAACTACCCCAAGACACTATTATGAAAAGAGCAGTAGAAAGACAGAGACTCTAACCTTGACAAGCCAAGCCAAGAAGAAAATGAGAGTTATGAAGTAAAAATAGGATCGCCAGCGAGGGAAGCTGTCGATGGCTCTGTACATGAGGAACACCCAACCCTCCTGTGATGCAGCCTCATACACAGTAAATATACTAGTACCTAGAGAAAACACACATGAGACAATGAAACATCAAAGTCCAGTCTGAAATCCTCAGCTTGGCCCTAGCCTCTCTATTCTGCAGAGGTAAATTGCCTATTTTCTTTCAGAGATCAAGGAATAATCATCTTCAAGCCCCTCAGATAGTGGCCACATGGTGGTCTATAAACATTTAAGGCTGTCAAGATGACTATTTCCTGTTGATGCCTAGAAGAAAAAGGGTATCTGACCCTTGTGAAATGAACATATTAGAAAACAATAGCTGGGATTTGGCCAAGTCATACTAAAATCAGAGAATGGTGTCAAAAACCATGTCACAAAAGAACACAAGACTTAATGTAAATGCTCATTTAAGAAGAAGCAAGTCTATTAAAAAATGTATGTTTCAAGTCTCAAATTCGGAAAAAATAATGAAGAGACATTATTTTCTCATGTCCTTAATTGTGGTCAAGTCATTATGAGAATCAAATTAAATCTTTTAGACCTATTGAATATTAGGTATATAGTTTGGCCAAGATAAAATCAGGAGTCACAGGCTTTTTTTTTGTTAATGACCTGGCTGTAGACATTCTGATGCATCAAAACATTGGAACTTTTGCCATGATTCTTCTTGTATGCTTTCTACTGAAAGCTGTATGGATATTTTTGAAGAATTCCGATATACCATAAAAGTCATTTACTCGATCCTTGTACATGCTACATAAATTAATCACTCTAAATACATCATATTTGTTTATTTGTGAAGTGCTTTGCTTCTATCACTGCTATGCCATGATTAATACCATTTCACTGACATGAACCCCATGCAGCTGATAGGAACACAGCAGGCTGAAACATGGCACAGTTCATCCTAATACTAGTTTACAAAGGTCTTGGGTCGCATTTCCTTCCATAGAATCCTTGCAGAAATTATCGCACATAAACACAAAATCTAACTAAACTATATTCCACACAATGGATGGGAGGAATTTTATCTAACGCAACAGCAGGTGGATTCGAGTGTGCCTGATTTTGTTGTTTTTATATGAAAAATGTGCCCACAATATATGCTTGTAATCTAAATGAAAACAGAACTTGGAACAACTTCTACCTAGTTCATTAAAACCACTATAACCGAGCTCCTGACGGCTGAGTCCCAGCTCTTCCAGATCCATGCATTTGAAGCCATAAGGACACTGGTAGCCCTCTCCATCGGGGGAGCAATGTGTGTCAGGAATAGCCAAGCTGTTCCAAGTCACTTTCCTTAGAAAAAAAAAAGAGAAAATATTGTGATTTATTGCAATTAAACATTTAAGCCAAAACCAGAAAATCATTAACAAAATTATGAGACTAAAGTCCTCTTTATCCGTATCCTTATCTTTCAGCCACAGGTGTTACCAGGAGCTGCTTGATTTCACAAATGAAAACTAATGCCCTCAAATTGCCTGCCCAGACACTCATCCAAATTGTTTATTAAGGGGTACAGGATCAGAAGGGATAATTTATTGCTCCATCACAAAGGGCAATCAGAAGCATAGTAGTGAATCCTAATAAAGCTAATTACACTAGGCTGAATGGTATGAGTATCACTTTGGAAAGGAAATCACTTTCCTTGTCAAAGGAGATATGAACTAAGCTTAGCATTAGAAACACATATCCACTTCTGAGAAAAAAATCAATAATTTTTAAGTAAAATGAAAACTGTCATGAGACATTTTTTGCAACCCATTTAGCATGATTTGCATACTTTAAATTTAAAGGTACTATCAGCGTAATGTGCTAAAACAAGAGATTATTTGAATGATACAAAGGTATGGTTGTATTTTGCTAGAAAATAAGAATTTAATCAATTTTCATGCTATTGATCCGATGCACTCTGCTGCTATCCAGGCAGGTAATTCATGCAGGGAGGTAAAACAGTGATAAGATCAGTCGCGAGAAATCCTGAGAAAAAAGAGAGCCATAATCGAAATTCTGTTTTTCTACATTCTTTATCTTAAAAGTTGTGCTGAATGAACTGATTTATATACACATAGAGATTTGTGGAACGGAGCAGCAAAAAAACAAAAAAACAAAGAGCAAGGTCAGAGCCTTCCATTAATTCCATATGCCATGTGTTCTTCTACTAAGACTATTATGCTGTTCCCTTTAACCAGCTTTAACCAACTTTAAACAGCCATGTACCTCGTCTTCATTTGCATAATATCACCATTACCTTCAGCTAAATGATTCACCTTGGACTAAAAAAAACAACAAAAGAACACCCTTACGCATATAAAAATTGTCATACTTTCCAATGTCTCATCATGTATACAGAAACTTTACCTAACAACTAAATACCTTTTAAGAGGGTCTTTTGTGCCACGTTTAAGATATTGACTGTCCAGTTTTGTTCAAAGTCCCTTTCACACTGAAGTAAAGTTATGCCCACGTTAATAAGAATAGTTATTCACTTCCAACAGTTTCTTTATAATGAGGTCAAGTGCATGTTTTTTTCATACCCTATTTGTGTGTCATTGGTAACACAGTGATGGTTGAATGTTCCAAACATCTGAACTCCAAGAATTCCGTACAGCAGAAGAAAAAATAGCAGGAAGATTGAGACGCTCCAGATCTGTTCCCCGGATCGTCTGGAAAGCACAATAGAGAATTACGCTTAAATCACAAATCTAACGATGAAGTGAGACCACAGTAATTACAAAAACTAATGAAGCCATTGTACTTGAGAATATTGGTGATGCGAGAGCGGGGAAGTTCAAAGCGGAAGTAGATCCTGAAGGCCCGGATCATTATCAGAGCTCGAGGGATTCTCAGCATTCCCCACGGAGACATCTGATCCACAAGCCGAGCTATTTCAAACACCTAAAACAAGGATAAACTGGTCATCTAGGAGGCAACTAGCCATTAGCAAATGCAAAAAAAACATGTAGTTATATAACAGTGAATGGTCCGGCTCACCTGCAGCACCAAAGAGACCCAGATGAAAAACACCATGAATCCGTCAAACATACACCAGCGATCTTTCACATAAGAGTTATCTCCCTAAGAAGTGAAACAAAGTCAAAGAAGAGACATCAATGTAGAACACGTAGCAAATCTTTCAATTGATTAGAACGAAGTAAGTTCTAATCAATCTAAATCGGTTAATCTAAAAGTCACAAAACACCCCATATTGACATGTGTTATGCCTATTGAAGAATATCTTTCTGAGAATCTTCCACAGAAAAAAGAAGTTAAATCTGTGCGATTCGAATAATGTCATAGCAATACTCCAAGAAAAGCATAAGATAGGATGTAAAAATGACTGTAACTTTAGACAGATTGACCACAATGTTGAAGAAGCCTGTTTTCAAAACAACGCAAAGTTTTTATGCTCCTAAATCCGAGCAAACGGCGATCTCAAGGGGCTGGCAGAATTGGGCGTCCTTAATTACCACTTCCAGAGCGCAAGTGGGAGTCTGTAAGAAGCTTTTGGGGGGGGTCAGTCTTCCACAGGAAGAATGGTAGTAAATGGAGGGGTTAGTTCTGAAGCGCCTGACAGATAAGGACCATGTTTGAGTACACACATTGACAAGGACAAAAGCATGCAATTACATTCCTATGATGAATGGATCATTTGTTTCGGGCAGGAATTTTCAACAGCTAGCCAAAAAATACAACTTCCAATACAGTTCTGTTTAGAAATAGAAGACAAAAAGGATATGCTATATGTGTCAAATCTAGTGCACTTTGAAAACCATTTGGAGTTCATCAAAAATATCTATGGTTTGTAGAGTGAATTTTTTATTAGTCAAATCTGATAACATTCAGAGGCAAAGTTGTGCCTGTCAAAAAGTAACATTTTGAACTACAGTAAATGGAAGCAAAAATGTTCTTTTTATCTTTTTTCTTTTTCCCTACAGTGATTATTTAAATTGTGTGTCCTTCACTGTCTCTCTGTTAGTTATCCCTGATTTGCCAATTATGTTGCCCACACTTTTTATGGCAGTAATTACAGGCCTTTCATCTGCCAGCTGCCTGCTCTTGGATGCCTCTGTGCAAAATTAATGGTCTACCTAGAATTTTAATTGTGTTGATTCACTTGAGTCCAGAAAAGAACATATTCAGCAAAATGCCTTAGGTTACTTGGCAAAATGGTAAGAAGGAAAATGGATGAGACCGTGATGTCATCCCTTAGTTGTAAACTACCTGATTAACTTAGTCATAGTTGTGTTTGTTGTTTTGCAAGGAATGGAAGATGTGCAAGGGAGATGTTTGAATAAATATCCAAAGCTGATATGGGTATTTTCTCATTATTTACACAAATAATTAATAATGAATAAATTATTGTCCATATTGTCATGTTTTTGGACATTTTATGCCATCTTTTTTAGCATCGGTGGGATTCACCTCTCCTAACCTTCTTACTTATTTGAGGGGGAAAAGAATTAAGACATTAAGCTGACATGATAATTAAAGCAGAATAGATTTTACTGGAATAGTTTAGTATAGTGAAGACTGAGGATGGAGAATAGTAAAGGGGTTGTTTCAATCTTCTAAATGATATTGCAGTCATTGACTTTATTTAGGACTTAATTAACATTATCGTTATCCCTTGTTATTAAAGACTGCTACTTGGTATTTGATTTAGATAACCAACAAAACTTGTACTGATTCCTAATGGCAGTATTATTCTAAGGTATCTGCAAGCCTAACTATGTACAAGATTTTAGTTCTGAGATTTTTTTATTTTTACATTTTCATGCATTAAATAGCAGCGTATTTGTCAGATGGTCCACAATAGAGCACTGCACTGGGCTTGGTGTCCTGCCAGTCCCGTGGGACCAAACCAAATCTCACACAACCTGACAGTAATGGTTCAAGATTCAACAGGTGCAGGTGGGAGGAAAACTAAAAGAACACTTGTTTAAGGCTCAAATGCATCACGCCAACTCATATCTTTGGAAACATGACAGCATAACACCATGTCTAATTTGCAAAATACCTAAAAGGGTTTAAAAATATTATCATAGATTTTCTTTTTTACATTTTATTTTACTAAAAGCTACTTCAGTTGAGGTCGTATTTGCATGACCACAGGTAAAATGATACACTTTATATTACAGTTTAAGCCTAAGGACAATCTGGTTTTAGTTTATATCGGGTCTCCCTTTCTAAGTTAACTGCTTGATCACCCTTGTGTTTCGAAGTTTCAGGGAAACAAAACTTCTAAGATATTACTAAAATGTAAAGAATCTGTAATAATTATGGTTCTACACTCATGTATCTAAAACTGTGATACATGTACCGTAATCCCTTATAACATGTATCACCAAGCCAAACTGTGGGGGAAGCTCATTTATACTGCTGCAATCTCATTCTTTCAGTCAATACTGGAAATCTTTTGACCATTAGTCAGGGTTGAAACAATGAATGTTAAATCAAAAATCTGACGACACCCTCATGATGGCTGATGAGGGCCCACTCCATCTCTCCATTACTAACACTATTCTGCTTTCAATCATGAACACTAGTTCTCCACTTGAGGCAAAGTTTGGTCTCCAACTTGGAGAGAAATGCATTATTGTATTCTAAGCAGGGGTTGTATTAACATCATTCGCATGTGGAGCTCATTTTGGGTGAACAGTGAACTTAATCAAGGCCAACTCTTCTATCAGAGCCTATTTTCTGTTCATGGAGAGGATCTTTTGGCAAAGTCATAGTCTGGGAGAAGAGAGCATCTGATATGGGAAATTGCATCCTTTTGGAGTGGGGATGTGGGGATTTTCGCCTAAAGCAGAAGTATGTTGGGATTAAGAAATGTTTGATATCATCCCGACAAACAGCTTGACATTTAAAAATCTTGTTCTTTCTGATAGCCTGAAAATGTTACAAATATGCCAGTGACATCCAGTTGTTATGCTTGAAACTATTAGCTGTTGAGTGTTAACACGTGTGTCCAACATTTTAATCAATAATCTGGTACAAAAGAACCTTTTAACATAAGTCATCATGTTGGTTCAAAGTTCTTTGTTGTGTTGTGGGTTTTCTATGTTGTTTTTACACAGTGACAAGTTGGCCTGTACTTTGTTCTGAAACGTAGTACTGACTATACAAATAATGCTACCAACAATCATTAGATAGTGTTTTTATGCCTCATGTAACCTTTCATTCATTCAGTTGACCGGTTGATACCTTGATGATTCCTCTTATGTGCATCTTGGCGATCATCTCAGCAGTGTAGAGAAACATTAGCAGCGTGTCCAGTGTAAATGTCACATACTGCAATGGAGGGTAATGCTCAAAGGTCTTTGGGGTGTTCATACACACGGAGATGACGCTGATGATCGCACAGGCTCGAAGCAAAGAATGGACCCACTGCAGGAAGAAGACAGGGAGAATAATGACAAACTCTTTAATGATTTCTTTCTGGTACATTTTTCTTATTTTGCTCTACTTTGATATGGCAACAAGTTAAAACTGTATGAGAAAACTCACTGGTTTGTTGATCCAGAAGATGTCAGCACTGTCTGCGAGGGTTTCATCCGGCCCAAAGTCGGTCATGGGCTGGGCCTCGACCCGTGAGCTCTGTTTCCTCTTCAGCATGCTGGGGCTTGCTGTGCTATACAGAGAATGGATCTAACAAAGGGAGGGAGACGAACCACACAGTGACCAAAGCTAAATGAGCAACAGGGGAACACTCTGGCTGTATTCAAGTAGGGGCAGTGAAACAGCGGAACTTTTCAGACTCCAGTCTTGAGGGCTACAATTTAGTATAAATGTATAGTCAATGATGCATGGCCATGAGGCACTTGACCACATTATTGGCCTGATTGAAATGCACAAAGCTTATGTTAACAAAGATATAAACGTGATGCAGTGGTAAAGCTGTGGGTCAATGGCAACTCTGTTTAAACATATGGAAAACTGAGCTTTATCAAGCTGTGGCGTTTACTCCAGAAAAGAGAACCACCCTGACTTGAATGGCCAGAGCAGAAATGTATGCTGTAAAACTGAGCGCAGTGCACTGTTTGGATGGCCACCGTGGTACACAACGCAGCACACATGGAACACAGAGCGAGTGTTTTCACACTGGAACAGTTCCAGCGACTTACCAATTCAAAAGATCATGTGAGATCTTCCTCATACTGAACACCGAGGCCAGCAGAGATTGATAATGTGATGCGAGGGAGGTGTTACCTGTGCTCGTTAACATGGTTTGTGTGTCTGTATGTATGCGGGAAAAGGAAACGGTCCAGGCCGTTTCAACATAGGAACACAAGAAGAAATGACACTCTGAATGGAGACAAAGCGCACATACCAAAGGGAAAAGTAAAGCTGAAATTGCTCCAGCACTGCACATAACATGCGATCAGGCATACCCTGTAAATAACACACAACAGTTAGTCAACATCATGGCTTATATGGTGAACAGTACACTACCCACATCTACGGTACGCTCATATAGACAGAAATGCCCACCACGTCTGACATCAAGGCATATATGCGACACACTCCGTGAGTGAGTGAGTGACTGAGGTGTTGTGGAAGAAGAGGATGGGGTGGAAGATGACAGGCAGACTCACTGTGAGGCTCCTCATTGGTGCGTTCATCCCAAGGTCACAAAGGGGTGGGGAGACCAACCAGACGGAGAGAGACTGACGATGGGGGGAAAGGAGACTATCTCAAAGGCTCTGAGGTCCTGCAATAGCAAACAGTGAATGGAAGCAGTTAGAAAAATGTTTAAAAAAACACAGTAGGGAGGAGTGCGAAAACATTTTCACATGTGCAGCTAGGTGTAACTACAACACACACATATTTAATCAATTTACTCACCAAGCAAACAAACATTTGCTACCATTCCATCAGCAAAATGTGAGCAGATGTTGACTATCATGGTTTCATTTGTGCAGATTGTGAAATTGTGTGTATCATGTTTAATGGCATCACAGTACAGAGGTAGTGCTTGACAGTAAATTTGACTGCATCTCTTTCCAGCGACAATACTCTTTGATTCTATGGCCATAATATTGTAATTTCAATGAATTTTTTTCTTTTATAGATGCACATCTTTTGGCATGCTGTTCAAACAACCAGCGGAAGTACATTTCGAAGCGTTAGCTGTCTGGAAATGGGTTGAGGCCCGTAATGAACTCGACAAGTTACTTAAGTTTCCACTGGAAACAGCAACACGTCACTGACACTTTCAAAACCTTAGGGACAAAAAACTAATTGACCCATTAGTGGGGTTTTTTAATTGTGTTCTCAGCAGGACAAAAGTGTTGGACTTTTTCAGAGTATTTTCCCCGAACTTTGCCCTTACCCACCAGCATCTTTCATTTCATAGCATAACAAATAAGAGCATCGTCTGAGTAAGGACTGTGGAAATACGCAATGTGCTTGTGGATTACTATATTTTCTATACCACACAACGCTTGAACCTTAAAAGCTTAAAGTACAAACAACTCATAAAAATGTTTACCGAAGCAATGGATGAAATGAGGAGCGGGGTCAAAAAATCGAGGTCAAAAATCTTATCCTTAATGCAAAATACCAACTCAGAAAGGGAATGATGACAAAAGACTAGAAACACTATCACCCTTGTTTCCCTTCATGTTCTTACCAAGAAAAGAAAGTGTCCGTCCTGTAAACCCCATGTACTTAGAAGCAATTTTCCAGTGTAATTGCTACACTTAACATATGCAGATGGAGACGTGAAGAAGAGTGAAAACAAAATTGCAGGGTGTAAGTGCTATTATGTGGGAGTATAGGTGGCAAAGACTGCAATTAGTTTCCCATTTGGAAAAAGGACATGTTCCTCTTGCAGAATGATGTGATCTCCGGGCAGAATAAGTGTAACTGTATCAGAGTATTTAAACTTTATTCTTGAGTTCACTGTGGCAGCATATTTTCAACAGACAAGAAAAAGTTTGGAAAATGTGGGCGGGTAGCACATTTATGCAGTTGTTTAATTTTTCGCCATAACCAAAGCAAAAAATAAAATGTAAGGTCCCATGTCTAAAAAGTTACTGAATTAACCAGGATATTTTGAAGCAGACACATGCAGCATTCAAAAAGATACTTATACGGGGACTACATTACCATTGTATTCTTTATTAGTTATTAAGGGATTATACATAAGCTACAGATATCATTCAGCCTCAGCAGGTTTCTCTAAATATTCCTTTAAAAGTCCTCTTCACCACTTTTTCTGACCTTTTATTGTAGCAGAAAGCACCCCTCCACAGAGAAAATGCTCCAACAAAGCCTGTATCAGGTCTGCCTGCCACAAAATTACTCAGAAACTAAAGTGGGAGAAGCTGGTGAATATAATTGAGAAACTTGCCATGTCTTTAGATTTAGAGCTAGTATCTTAAATAAACAGATATACTTGCTATATTCTTTAGTAAGCAGCAGACTTTTGGAGTGTTTTCCGAGCACACATATTGACATAGTGAAAAATAGTTATGGTAAGACAGCAAAAGTAACAGTCTTAGATATGTAGGCAAATGGTGACATTTACAACAGCAGAAAGAGCCTTTCATAGCTGTATCAATTTAATTTGTGCTTACATATTTGCCTTTAGAGGCAGATTCATGACATTGCTCACATTTAGAAAAATGTATGTGAAGCACAGATCACTCCAGACTGGAAAAACGAAGGATGAGAATGCAATGGCACTCAAAGACTTAAATAAATACTTTATACCTTGAATGACCAAGACAAACTGTGCAAATCCAGACTTTTAGTTTCCAAAATTCCTTTGTGTTTACTTTATGCATGAAGTGCCAGCTATCTTGAAACATTGTTAACTTTATGCTGGGTTTAGTGTTCTTTGCCTGTCATTTTGTGTTGACTAAGTTCTGACTGAAGTTTATAAGTGTTTATTACAGTGGTGGTAAAGTTGCAAACCATAGAAACAAAACAAAGGTCTGAGACCAATGATTTCAGAGTAACACTTGGAAACTATGTGCTAAAAAGTTATTTTAACCTCTTGCATGGCTTATAACAAATTTATCAACTTCTTATGTTTGATATTGATTCGAAGTGGTCTGAAACTCATCCAAACTGTTTTTAGATATCTATGTGGATATGCAGAAGTCAGGTATTATATTTGGTACCACTAATATAACAAAGCCAACATGAGGTAGGAAAACATACTTCAACATATTTCTGAGAACCATCACACCTTTAATGAAATTATTAGGATGATAATATAAAAATAATTAGGTCGGATTAGATTTGTTACCACATTACTTTAATTTAGTGAACTCATTGTATTCAGCATCAGAAAACTCAACCACTGTCATTGCTTTGATTGTTCAAGAATCCAAGTATCCAGAAGATACAATATAATACAGACCAGATTCAAAATATAGTCTCACAAATAGATGGAAGATGTTCTTGACTATCAATCTTGGCTTGTTTGGGACCAACAACTAGGTTATTTGTGGCTGTTTGAAGGTATCGCTGGTTGACCCACTGCAGCTTCACAGACCTACTTGAGTTACAGGGAATTCCCTAAAATATTTGGGGCAAATTGTTTATTTTCAACACATTAAGGTGCTTCTGCAGAATATAACCATAATACATTGTGTAAAATGGCTGTCATCCCACAGAATATCAACCACGAAGTGATATCTTCCCATTTTCAAATTGAAATGATGAATAAATCTGACATCGGCAGATCCAAGGTTACTATGGAAACGACTCGGAGCAAAGCTGCTAAATGGGTAAAAACAAGCTAAACAGTTGACATATTCAGAGATAAGGGGGGCGCGCAGGTCTAAAACAAAGCTAAATTGCAAAGTGACAACCTGGGCACGTGATAGAGCATTAAGTACACGACATTATTCCACCACGGCCTACTCGGGAGGACGAAATCTCCTCCACTTCCTGGAGAGGAAAACGAGCTAGCGGGTAGCAAGCACCGAGCGTCAGCCGCATCCTACAATCAAAAACAGCTGGATGCTCACTCACGTTCACGACGAGTCTGGTCGTCTGGGGGCTGAGAAAAACAATCTTGGTCACTTACGAGAGGAGGATTTCCCTTATCGGCCGTGTCTAGCCCTGTCCATGACATCAGCTGTTTTCTGGATGTGCTGGATACGGATCGTGTGGGAGAGTGCGGGAGCGCGCAGGATGCAATCACATCAACAGGACCAGCCAGGGCTGCGGTGGCGCGCGGCGCTGCCATGGCAACAGCTTAGGCCCATACTGCTCATCCAGGTCTCTTACATGTACTTAAAAACCTACAGGAATGGCCGGAACACATACATTCCACAACATATATGTAAACATATCTATCGACACATACATTTTATCTATCTCTCTATCTATCTATCTATCTATCTATCTATCTATCTATCTATCTATCT